TCTCTCTCTCTCTCTCTCTCTCTCTCTCTCTCTCTGCTCCTCTCTCTCCCTTCCCACGCTTTTGTCTCCGCCTCCCCCCTCTCCCCGAGACACCTGACCATACCCCTCTCCTCCCTCCACGTCCTCTCCTTCAACCCTTTCCTGTTGACGTCAAATCCCACTTAGTTCCCCAGTCTTCTCAAAGAGTATGCGAGCGCTTCAAATAATAGCTGAAAATAAGTGTGAGTGTGAGAGTGAGTTGTGGATGGGTGCATGAATAACGTCTTTTAAATCTCTATAACACGATGTGATAAAAGAATGTGTGCAGAATGAAGGTTGATAGTTGTCTTAATATAGTTAACATAATGTGGCGATGATCTTTCGTAGAACAGCTGATCTTTGCCTTGTGATAAAAGGTCGCTCTCTAATCAGAGCCGGTTCGTTAACTGTGCAGGACTGGCGTAGCCGTCTACAAATTGTCGGCCGGATAGCAAACAAGAGATTTATTACTGATAAAAATTTTCATTCAGTTTAAACTTTAAAGTAAATCCAAAGTAAAATGTTTTATTAGCCTAACGTTCAAAAAGCACTTTGCCGTTTTGAAGACGTCAAGAGATAATACTGGCTCATTGATGTGTTTCGCACTACAAAAACTCGTTCCTTTATAATCTCTTTTTATCGTGTTGGCTCACAAACATCAAAAGCTTCTCACATTTTCACCAACACGGCTACGAAATACGGTCCAATAGACGGATGCCTTCTCGAGACTCACTTGGAGACGTCTAGACGGTCTTGTGGGGAAATCTAGCTTGAGAGTTTACACTGAAATGTGGGGGCAGGGCAGTGTCATGTCTCAAAATGAGCTATATGTTGTCTAATTTATTGTAAATAATTTAATGTAGTGACCATGTGTATGCACTCAAAGGACATAGTTTAATATAGAGCCCAAAATAAAGTGACTTTTTAGTTACTGGACCAAGATTTGTATTAAATGTACTTTTTTGTTTGGTCGGTGGCCTACAGAAATGCCATGCGAAAATCATCACGCATTGGCAAACTAAAAAATTGAGCTGGACTTTTTTATAACGCCGTGTTTCTTTAACGAAAGTGAAAAGGCGATACCAACTGCTGTCATGATGCCCACAGAGTACAAGGAGACCTCATGAGGATCACTTTTTTTGCCAATTTGGCTTCTTTGTTTCTTATAAAAGAGAAGACTGTCCAGGACAGCACGCCATTTATTTCTGCAGCAATATTTATCGTTAAACCTGCTTCTAGTCTCTAGCATGCTGATGCTGTCTATTGTTAGTCACTGATAGTGCATGTATTGTTGGCATAGCTTTAATCTTTATCGCTTATAATATTTTGAGCCACCTTAGCTTAGTTTGGTGCTTTATTCGCCGCTTACTTCCTACTTTAACCTTAAATAGCCTAAAACCCAGATCGGTTACTGCAAGGATTACCCAGTCGAGTATAAAGAAAGAATTTTAATAGGGGTGAGAGTCAATAATACCTGGCTGTCAGATGCTGGGTCCTACCCCTCCTCCCCTCCCCACCCCACTGTTCCTCTGCTCTAACCCCAGCAAGACACTGAATTCTGGATTTGACACAGTCTCCCACTCAAAACTGCTGTGAGAAATACAATGAAGAACGTGTTTGATTGTGATAGGAAATTGTTTTGTGCTAACTTTATTAAATAATGCGTGCGTGTTCAGCGTACTGTATTGTTTCTAATTCTACAGACTTCAACATAAGTTAAGGACCACTTGTAAACACGTTGAGTGGTCTTCTTGGGTCAATCTGCACGTGGGCGTTCTTGGACTGATCCAGTGGCGTGATGGTGCTGCTCAGGCGGACAACGACAGAGTGTGACACTGCAAGCCTCAACTCCATTCTGCAGCCGTGCCATAGCTCTGGCACGATCAAAGTCTCTCAGCTTTTGTCTTGGTGGTATGTTGATGCGATTCTGGATTTTGCCCACACGGTGGCTTATATTGCCACCAAAGTGAGCACAGTTCGAGACCGTACGTCTGTTTATGTCGTGCACCAGAAATATTAACTGAGGAATGTCCGTGGTGTCGCACAGAAGTCGATAAAAAACAGCAAATTTGGCTAAAATTCCTCGAGGATTTCCGTGCAGCATGTGGTGGTTTTGGTACTTTAGAAGGCTTTGCAGTACGCGGTGGTAACCCATTAACACTTTCAGAGCAAAACCTTTGAAACATTCCAAGCTGTCTTTTTACAGATAAAAAAAAAATCAGGACTGTCTGTCAAGGTGGTCCTTAACTTTTGTTGAAGTCTGTAAATTTGGACTTGGTCGGCTTGGGATAGCGTCATCAGTAAGGTAAGCCTATCATGTTTCCAAAGACATTAATATTTTAGCTAGTTAACACTATCAGAAAGTACAAAATCATTTTTAGTGGAAGAAAGCCTTGTACCCAAGGGCTCTGCGTGTATTTGGGAGTGAGAGTTTTTTTTTTTGGGGGGGGGGGGGGGGAGGCAGGCTCGCAAAGATGCACGTTTAACCCTTTTTGAGCCATATCGGCCTAAACCGGCCTTCCCGTCGTGTTGCCATACGGGCTTTGACCAGCTTTCCTGATGTAGAACCATACCGGCTTTTACCGGCTTGACACACCTGCCTTTAGTGCAGGCTTAGAGATAAGAACATTCCACTCTAAATTTAGATGCTGACATCCAAGGTCTGTGTACGCGAAATTTCTTTGAAATACGTCAAGATGTATATTTAATATTACACACACACACACACACACACACACACACACACACACACACACACACACACA